TCTTTTTTATCAATGTAGGAGAGGATTGGCGCCAACTGAGGACGCAGGAGGATATGTCAAATCACATTCTTAGGCCACTTAAAATTGACCTTACTCTACGCCGATGCATAGTTCCCAAAGAATTCGCTCTGCCCCTGTAAGTCTACCCTTCTAACTTGGACAATTTTATCCTTCCCAGTTTCCCCATCTATTTATGCCATACACTTCCGGTGTTCCTAGGAAATGCGGTTAACACCAGGCGAAGTCCTAATTTAGATAACCAAAACTTGTCTGGGCAAGCTCATCTTACCCAAAAAACCATTTCCGTGGGACGAAACCCAACTGCCCATCCCTGATTTACACTATAGCACTCTGCCCTCTAGTTTTGCGGGGTGTTACAATACTTACAGTTACAGACTATTTCCAATGCCGGCGTTATTACTGGATTTGTTGCCCAATAGATGCTTGCCGTAAAACCCTCTGCCTCGGAACAGAAGGGTCGCTCGGCTTGAAAACCGGTTTGACTTGCACGTCAGGACGAAAACGACTGTGATAGTTCCATCTTAGGGCGAATTCGGAGACCGATGTTCGAGCTTTGCCTCGCAGCACCTGTTTCTGAACGGAGGGAAGTTTTCTTGTCGGCTGCTTTGGCCTTCACAACTCATCCAGGCGTAAATATTGCACGCGTAAGCCAGCTAAAAGGGCGCAATTTGATTGGCCAGTTTTATACCCTAGATCCCACATGGTTGCCGTCTAAATTGCCAATCTGTCCGAACCAGTTCTCGAGGGTGAGGAATTCGATTTAGCCGAATGACTTGGCAGGACAACGCCTATATTATCGAGGGACCGGCAGCAAACGGCGTGACCAGTCTGGAAAAAAGTTGATCGGAATTGCCTTTATTTCTCCCCTCCCTTTCCTGGCAAGACCCTGGAATAGGAACGCTCCCACCACACTCCTTGTGCCATAATCCAGGAAAGAAAATATTCCTGTGCCCTTACTCGAACAATAATCCTAATTCGCACCTTTACCTAAATTTAATTTAAAGCCATCCGTATTACGGATGGTTCCGGTTCGCATGTCCTGCCAAAAATGGAACATCACACAGCAATCCACTTGACGGGTGGACTAGATTTCGCAACTTCGGGGTTGCATAAGCTGCTTGACCGTCCATGAACGGTAGCTTGACGCAGAGGTTAACTTAGGCAACTATTCGGAGAGATCAGAAGCTGCGTCAAAATAGGTTTAAAACTAGTATGCTAGGTTAATACAAACGACATACACAATAATTTCAGCTTCGTTCTCGAAAACTAACCGTTACTGAGCCACATCGTATCGCAGGTGGCCAGGTGGTCATTAGCAGTATCACTATTAAAGATGAGGTCCTTGTCTCGACTCCCTCTCACCAAGTTAAAACCGCAGTCCGGAGCCAGTTCATCTATGGCCTGGTCTGTCTCTGACCGCTGACTTCGCCGTCCGGTGTGTTGTAACG